CTTTGTTTGCCGACAACTTTTCCAGCTAAAATAAATTCGTATACTTAATTACGAAATGCTTATAAAAAGTTGATCGGATCAAAGTGTTCAGATTTGTTACGAGTAAGATGTTTAAAGTACCAATAAATAAAGTTACAGCACCAATGGTATCTGCCTGCTTGTTCATACTGGACCAATGCTCACGGGTTTGAGTTTGCACGAGGCAAAGTTTTATATTGATCGTACACATCTAGTCCCGCTTATTAAACAAGGCATTAGGAATACTATAATAAAATGTGTAAAATTTGGAAAGGCTTAGGTACTTATAAATCATAGTATAACCAAAATAATGTTTTTCCAATGATCCTATTTTTGTAGCTAAAATGAGGCTCGCTTCGTCACTGCTCGTCATCAACATTTGTTATCGGGGAGGCAATAATCGGTTGTGGGATATAAATGGACCTACTTTGCTCAAATACATAATATATTGATGTGCTTGGGTACATATATTTTACACATTTTAGTTGTATACAAATTACTAAATATTTCTATTATTATTTTTTTTCTCAGTTATATTAATATGAATTATGGATCAGAATCTGTTAAATAGTTTTAGAGGATACCATATCCATTACTTTATTTTCATTGATTATAATTTTGCGAAATTTAATAATATGAAATATAAATAGTATGAATTTCGAAATACGAAAGTAGTAAATTATAACTTGATTTTACTTGAACTTTTTCCACCGAGGCCCACACATTAGACGCCATCTTCCTGATATGGGATGGGGCCAACATGCCCACGCATGTTTATTTATGGCATTTATTTAATAGTTTAGTAGGAAATACAAGCTTAATATACATTTTTTATAAAGGACCAATAATTTAAAGTTGTTTTTTCTCTATCACAACGATAGTAACATAAAGGCGAACTACATATAATAAAGGTGCAAGCTCAAAAATAAGATTAAATAACACTAAAATTTTAACCTAACAACTATTCAAATTATCGCGATTTATTATATATTATTATTGATTAAATATGTATTATATATCTCGAATATATTGTGGTATTTTTGCAGCTTTATCCTATAAAATAGTCCTTTAGATTTCCAGTCGTTCTTAGAAATCTCTTTATCCAATGGAAAACAATTTTTATGACGCCATAAAAGAATTATTGCTTAGACGATAACTGGCAATTTATAACACTTGCGTCGCCCTCGTTGAAGCTTTGCAGCGAGTAAAGCGCTAACACATTTTATGCTTTCACGTAAATAATGATGCTACTTATCTCACCCAGCTGAGTCACAGATTGTAGCATTTGAACTCTTCGAGGTGGCTCTTTAAAACATAATTTATTATAGTTTTCTTACTTCAAAAACAACAACTTACTTATAACCTACATATGTATGTAAGTTCGACATTAAAAATACGAACTTACCAAGTAATTACACGGAAGTCGAAAATAAAAATACACTAATTGAAATATACACAAAGGAAAGTAAATAAACAAATTAAGGCTGCTTACACAAAATAAAATACCTATTTTAAAATTAATTGTCTTTTTTTCGTATAAGTATTCATACATCAATTTTTAATAAATATTTGAGTATTTGCTTTGTTTTAAATAGTGGTATATTATTTATGTTTTATAAATAATAATTGCTACAACACTCTGAGCCTCAGAGTCTGAGGTGATCATGATCATCTACTGAAACATGCAAAGCTCAATGCGCAGATCTAGATGTTTCTCATCACGTTATAATAGTTTACTTACCGTCGCGTCGCTTCGCTTGCGTGCGACCCTAGTGCCCGATTTCACCAACAACCCATAAGCTACCACCTACGTATGGGATCCCTAGCTTAAAATTCCCCTAAACTAGCATCTAAATTAAATTTCGTTTTACGATCGTCTTTAAGCTCATATTTCGAGCACCTAAATTTAGGGGGCCTTTTAATATTTAGGTGACCCCTAACTGTCGGTGAAACAGAAACTGTCCCCTAACAGCTCCCTAACCATGCTTAGGGGATCCTTTAAACTTAGGTGACCTTGGTGAAATCGGGCATAGGTGTCTCATACTTACTCCATGTCATAGTCTATCTGTGTGCTAAATTTTATCCAAATCGGACTAATTTGAGTTAAAACCATACATACGTGCGTATACGCATAAATAATCTACTTAGGTACATTCGCATAATATTTTTATATTAATAAATCAGATAATAATTTCTTCTTATCAAATTTGCCTATATTTTTTTTGTTGTATAGTATCTAACCTTTAAGGCATAAAATATAGGCAATAAGTTAGCTAACAGGTTTTTCTCACAGCTGTAATTAATAAAAATATTTCATGACTCGTTACTAGAATGTAGTTACCCAAGTGCGGATCTAAGAGGAGGGTCACGGGACCCCCACATCTAGGGTTACCAACCATACTGCTTAAAACAGTATTATACTTTATTTCGCTCTAAAATACTTTTTATTTTTCTACTTAAAAAAAATATTCAAAATACTGCTTTTATCATCGCTGGATCTGGAGCCATAAACGGCTGGCAATAACTTCGAAAATATCTAATTAGATATCTATTCTAAATGAAAACCCCCGTTTAGTTATTTTTTACTTTTTGGAACAAAGAGAATGTAACCACTAATTTTGCTTGGAACTCAGTTTTTTTTTATTTTTTATTTTTTCATTTTTAGTGTAGACGTAATTTGTAAGAAAAAAGTTTTTTATTAACACTGTCGTTTAAGCCATTTACATTGACACACAGCCATTGACTTCGAAAATATCTGATTTTTTTTATTCATTTACTATAGATACCTATCTATAGTAAATGAAAACTATCAATTAGTTATTTTTTTACTTTTTAGTGTTTTTGTCTGTCCTTTTTGTTTTTCAACTATTGTTCTTAAGTAATATTTTTCTCAAAATAAAACTAGGGTATCTACTTATGTTTTTACTGGAATCACTACGCTGCATTTGAGTGTAACCGATGGTCGAAAGTACTTGAACAACAGCCAGATTACATATTTTAACAAACCTAAGCGCTGGAGATGGCCGCATTGTCACCCGGAAACCAGAGCTTTTCGCGGAAGTGGAAAAATTTGATGCAAGCCTGTGAGATCATGAGGATCCAGTTTACAGAATATCTCCCTTATATTACTTTAGCCAGATTAAAGAAGCTCTCAACTAACTTAAAGACAAAAAACTAGTGAGTATGGGATAACAATAATTGTTAAAAGTAGACGGGATTCTATTCCTGAAGGTGATCCTGAAGTTGTTTAATATCCTCTCTGTGCCAGTCATCATTAGAGAGGCAGCTCTTGATGTTGTTAAAATTTATGGAAGGACTGTTGAATTGACCTCCTTAAATCTATATATTTGGGGGGTAGAGGGGTGGGGATAAGGGTGTAGATCACATAGCATTACGCACAAAAAGTGAGGCAAGTAATATGAAGACGCTTCAGCCATATGAAGACGGCCACTCGGTAGTCGGCCGCAAGCGAGTGAGAGCGCGTGATGTGCTTTTGGTAAAATAATAGTTGCGAAATTAAGCCGTCCTGTGTCATAAACTGCTGCTAAAACAATTCATGTTTTCGAAAAAAGTCTTCTGGGATAACTTTTCACAAGTAACCGATTTTCTGTATAATTTAAACAAAATCTCAAAAATATTTAACATAATTCTCCGAACACGAATTCTAGATGTCATTGTGTCAATGTTGTAAGTTAAGAATCTTATTATTGTATTTTAGTTTTCGAGTATATTAGGTATATTATTAAACGTCAAAACCGTGATTCCGAACTAGAATCAATATTTGACACCAGGGCCGGATTTAGGGGAAGGCAACCGGGGCTAGAGCCCCGGGGCCTCCACAAGAGAGGGGCCCCCGCAAAAGAAATTAAAATAAATTAAGTTCTGACTGGCGACAACTTTTTCGTTTTTATTTATTATTTTTTTCATTTTTTTTCCTCACTTTAACCTATAATACTTGTACAAATATGATTATATTATTCTTAAATATTAAAAACAAATATTCGTTCACCGCAGTTCATTGCAGTTATGTAAAAAGAGGTTACAGAGGGATTATGTATATATTAATTAATTATAATCATGCGTTTTTTTGGTTCTTCGCGAGTTTATTTATTTTATAATTTTAAAGTCTGCAATATTATCATCAAATGTGCATCCACTCAAAAACTTTTTAACAAAAGTTATATTTTCCTATATCTACTCCATAGGCTTAGGTAGTTAACTAAAGATAAACACAGAACTCATGGGGACTTAACCTTTTATTACAAAAAATTGAACACATATTGTCAACTAGCGAATTACCCTCGCTTCGCTCGGGTGCGTCGCTAGGTACGTTTTAAGTAGATATAAATAGTTATTAGTTATAAGTTAACCATATAATATTTTTTTTGTTAAAAATATTTACAAATATTGACATTAAGATTTATAAGATACTAACGTCACTCAATTGTTTTGCCTTCCAGGAACCTCTCCTCTAACACTTAAACTTTATGGTATGGTATTAAAGTTCAAAACTTGAAACTTTGTGGGATTACTCAAGATAATAGTACTTTGCACAAAAAAAAATCAAGAGTCTACTAAGGGATGTCGTTTCAATAGCTGAGCCAAATTTGTCTACCTAAGACAAAAAAATCATCTTGGTACAACAACTTATTACGGACAATAAGTACCTACATTTTTCTATTTCTTGTCCAATCTTTATATTAATAATATAAATAAATTTGAGCAAAACTACACAAATAGGTATATTTTTATTGAAGAATCGTTTTGGCCAACAAGCCGTTATGAACTTAGCCATCAAAATACTTTTTGGTTATCATTTAACTGCACTTTAAGTAATTAATTTTAACGCAGTGTAAAAATACTTAGTCATGGATAAGCTTTATTAGGTGCAGGTTTACTTCAGTCATTGATATAAATCAAAAAATAAAAATTATTGCTAATTAAAACAAAACAATGTGATTAATTTGCAAATTGTATATTTAATAAATGTCTTGCGGGGGAGGTCTGCCAAACAACAAAGTCCAAGAAACAGGTTGTACGAATTGTGAAGATATATCCTTTTCTTCATTGAAAATAGGAAGGAAATTTGTTAAATATTTTACCATATCATACGCATCAGGTATATTGTCTCCTTCGGAACAATATTTGAATAATATTAAAGCTGGAATTTTCTTGCAAATACAAATTTCATAAAGTAAACTAGCAAAGCCACCTCCAAAAATTCTAAGTTCGCCATCATAATTCTCATGTTTTACTAGATTTGCTGCCTTTATCATATCCATATAACAGTTTTCTTCATTTCCAACATATCTAAATGGTGAACTTAAGATATGCTTTTTTTCATGAGCAAAGCTACTAGTTAAAATGATTATATCTTTAATATTTTTTTCCATAAACATCATAACGACTTCTTCTAAAAAAGTCTTAGCATATTTAAATATTACTGGAGATCTGAGTTGTAACACACATAGCTTCTTGATTTGCGACTTGTAAATTTCACAAGATGTCGAAATAGTATCCGATTTTAAATTATACGGATTATATCCTATAACAGGAATTTGTGCCGGGCTATATACAGAACCCATTTTCGTCATTTTTAAAGAAGAAATAAGCAAGTCACAAGCAAGTTGACCGACATTACCAACTGCCACACTTGGAATTAATAAAGTATAATCTTTTAAGGAGCTTTCGTCCAAGAATTTCCATATACAGCTGCTAACCATTTTGCGATCCATATATCGTAACCAGAAATTTATAGGTTTTAATATTGTTCAATAATTTATACAACTTTTGAACTTAAAAACTTAAGACTCATGTTTTAGATTGATGACAATGACATATTATTTTTGGCTTTGACAATTGACAGTCGACAGATCACATTCATGTTTTGATTTAAAATTAGCCACCATTGACCATTCCAAGCCATTACGAAAAAAAGTCATACCCTGTTTTCCAATTAGAGCACTAAAGTGCATTATGCGGCATAATGCTAACTTCGAATATTTTAACTACAGCTACACTCCGCACATTCAAGCATTTTAAAAAGTACTGCCATAGAGTATGTAACATTTTTAGTACTGCTTTCAGCTTTAGCGTGATGCGCGCAAGGATATCAACTCATTAGCAGAAAAAATAAGAAGTGTCTTTTCTTCAAGGTGCCATGGATCAAAATTTTATTGACACTATCGTTAGTAATATTTTTATTTATATTATAATATATTTATTAGTTATATATAAAACTAATAAATATATATTTATTAGTTAGTTATATTTTTTCTTTCAACAATCAACACTGAACCTAGTGCCCTCTACTGGTGCACTGGATAACTAATTCACGTTCCAATTATGCATTAGCACACCTCGGCATTGTGAGCCAAAGTTCGGCATTATGCTTTGTGATTGGGTAACAGGGATAGACACAAGAAAAGGTTTAGGACAAAAAAGTATCAACTTTAACAGTTTCATTACTTATGAATAATAAATAATAATAAATCTAAGTGACATTATGACAGAAATGTAATAATAATATATTATATTTCTTTACAATTAATATGAAGCATTTGTTATACAGTTCAATACTATAATATACAATTCCATTTTAGTCACTTAATGAAATGGCATTTACCGACCGATCTCCTTCGTGTCTTCCCAATTGTACGTGACATTGGCGAAGTAATTTGTGCTCAACTTGCACGCTTTGAAGCCATTAACAAGAAAATTGAATTAAAATGGCATTTGACGACGTAGCAGTTTCATTACTATCATGATCAATTTGCTTTCGCTCGCTGCCATAAGTCTCCTACCATAACACATTACTGTAGAATCATTTGCTCACGTAGTCCTGGAATGCGTAGCGGTAGCCGGTAAGTTCTCAACGAAATGAAATCCTCAGACTCATGAGGTCGCTCCGCGAAGCCTGTGAAGTTCCCAGGAAACTTCTGCGTTTTGGACGGAGTCAGGTGGCTGAACTAGCCACGATTCGTAACGTACAACGGACCAAATGCGAATCTAAGTACGGAAAACGAGTCCAATATACAATACATACAATAGAACACATTACTGAGCTTGATCATCAGCTTTGTTTCCAACCACTGCCAGCCATTTTACATTCACACTACTATCATAGTATAAAAATCCCCACGGTAAAAATATTGTCAAATACAAGATTTGATTAAATTCAATACCAATTTTCATAGAGAACTGTTTCACTAACCTTACTTTAAAGCTATTACATGAACATCAATAGATAGCTATCGGTATCACGTCTCATCTCGCACGCTTTACACGCCTTGTCTAGGAGCCTTCATTAGGCTACTGCATGGTTTAGTAAACTGTGCTACTATTATAAATACGAAAGGTTGAATAAGTGCGTGTGTCTGTTTTTTACTCCAGTACACAATTTATATAATATCATAAATACAAAAGGCACTAGAAATGTACCCGTATGAAGCGAAGGTGAGCTGCTAGTAATAAATATAACACTAATTATAAAACATATTAAAATGTCATACTGAAGTACTTATAATTGTTAGTTGTCTAATTTATTAATTTTATGAAATTAGAAAACTAAGTTGAATATTTGTAAATATTATGACTCGTGTTACGCAACCCTAATACATGGAAACTACCTCGCGTCGACCACCAACATCGCATTCCGTTCGTATGAACTTTTATTGCTAAAGACTTTGTTTCGCAACCATAATGCATGGGAACCACCTCGCGAGTCGCGTCGACCACCAATATCGCATTCTTTTCGTATTTCAACATAACTCTCGCGAAGTGACAGTGTTGTAACATCCGAGTGCACCTTATTGTTAGAGACTTTTCTTAATTCATTCCATTTGTCATACTTCGACAGTGTAATCACCTTAGGATAATTAGTTTGTAAAATTAATATTAAAGTATTTTATAAGTAAAGTTTCCATTTCATTTGCATCCTCTGACTGTGACTTCTATAATTGGCGCAGTCGGTAGGATCGCTGTAAAGTAGAGTCAGTGAATAGATCACGGCCTTCGGCGATCCTGAATCTACGAGAGTTGCAGTCTGGGTGTATTCGAAAATTAATACGGCAAAAGAAATGAAACTCCTGTAAGTACTCTGAATCTTTCTCAGTCCTTGCATCCTTTCTAGGTTATCCTATATTTTATATTATTTTATTCTATTACGTAATAAAAATTAATTAGAGTTTGGTAATTTAAATTTAAAATATTAATCGAAATATTTTAATTTTGTATTCGTATTTAGTGGTATAGTTAATTTAAATTAAGTTTTTATAATTCATATAATTTTGAGTTTAAGAATAGGTACATGCGATAGCTATAGTTTTTATAAGATAATTATTTATTATTCAAGATTTTTCACCCTAGAGAATCGCGGAATATTAGATTAAGGCATACTTTTCCTAGTGGTAGGCTCAGCACGATAGACGAGAGGCGAAATATATTAAACGATACAATGGCTCATCCTGACTTAGATTCTATTTATAAATCCCTTAGATTATTACCAGAGTTTGATGGTAACCCGCATATATTAACGCGTTTTATTAATTTATGCGATCAGCTCGTCCTTGCGCTATTTAACACAGATCCAGGACATGAATTAACGAATCTAGCCTTAGTTAATGGTATTCTAAATAAAATAACGGGTTCCGCAGCTAGATTGATTAACTCTAATGGTATACCCGATAATTGGCACGGTATTAGAAACGCATTAATTAACAATTTCGCTGATCATAGGGATGAGACTGCTTTATATAGTGATTTATCTTTGCAAACCCAAGGGTCTAGCACGCCGCAGGAATTCTATGAACGCTGCCAGAATCTATTTAGCACGATTATGACTTATGTGTCTTTGCATGAGAATATTACTACTACTATAGAGGCAAAACGCGCGCTTTATTCAAAACTCACCCTTCAAGCTTATTTAAGAGGGCTAAAGGATCCCCTTGGTTCAAGGATACGTTGTATGCGACCTGAGACCATGGAGAAAGCTTTAGAATTTGTCCAAGAAGAACTTAATACATTATATATACAGCATAGAAACGAAGGTTCTATTAGAAAAGATAGTCAGTCTTTAGGCCCACCAAATAAGTTATCTTTAAATAATGTTGTACCAAAAAGGACCTATCCTTTTAATATGCCCAACAGGCAACCAGTGTTAATTGCACCTGGCCCTTCTAGGCCAAGTCCTATGCAGCATAATAGTACCCAGGGTTGGAGGCCTAATTTACCACCCCATATGCAACAACCTACTAGGACACAGCAAATAATGCGTGCTCCTCCACCAAACTATAACCCACAAAGCAATGTATTTAAAATGCCTAATAAACCCCCACACCATTCATTTAATTTCAGTAGTCAACCCCGTCCGATGAGCGGCGTTACTCACTTTGTTCCTAGACAATTACCACCGACATTACACGATTGGCGTAGATCCGGAAATCTACCTCCTAATAACTATTTTAAAACTAGAGAGCTAAACTTTAATGATTGTTACTACGACTACGATGACTTTGACTATGACTGTTACGACTACGGACAGACCTACAATGATCATGACTATACTGAATACTTTTGCTATCAAGAATCCCCATACTCAGAGACGGCAGTTTTAGAGGAAATAGACCAGCCATCTGTCCCGAACAGTGACATAAATTTTCAGAAGGATCAGAAATTAGAAAAACCAAAATAGAATTAAATTTTCACGTACAAAGGCAGCTGGGATATGTTAAAATAAATAATCCCCCATTAAAATTTTTAATAGATACTGGGGCTAATCAATCTTTTATAAGCCCAGAAGCTGTTCAAAAATATTTTAAACACATTCCATTAAATTACGAACCATTTGAAGTAACTAATGTGCATGCTACAACGAAAAATGATTACTCAATAACGTTGCCTTGCTTCCCGGAATTCTGCGAGCAAGATGATATTACTTTATTCGTTTATAAATTTCACAATTACTTTGATGGCCTAATAGGATTTGACTTACTTGACGTCTGGGGCTCTAACATAGATCTCAGTAATAAACTACTTATTACACGCAACGCTAAAATACCTATTTATATGTATGATTCGCGGATAGCTAATCTTTATGAAGAAATAATTCCTGCTAATTCATCCAAATTAATAAGATTGCCAATAAATTCATTAGACGGTGATGTTCTAGTTGAGAATCAAACCATTTGCAATTGCTTGATTTCGGATTGTATAACTAACGTAGTAAATAACCGCGGTTGGGTAGAAGTTACTAACACTACATATAATGACGTCATCTTTTCTATGGACCGGCCAGTAGCGGCTGAGTTATTTAACATAGAAAGCGAGTGTACTGAAATTTTATCCGATCGTGCTAATGAGGTTTTATCCCGACTTCGTACTGAACATTTAAATCCGGAAGAACGCGTTAACTTAGAACGTCTCTGTGCGAATTACGCAGATGTGTTTTACCTTGAAGGTGAAAGTTTAACATTCACCAACAGGATAAAGCATAGAATAAAAACTACAGATGAAATTCCAGTACATACAAAATCTTATAGGTATCCTTTTGTTCACCGGCAAGAGGTAAGAGACCAAATTTCTAAGATGCTTAGTCAGAACATCATCAGGCCTTCGGATTCAGCGTGGAGTTCACCTATTTGGATAGTGCCGAAGAAGGCTGATGCTTCAGGTAAGGTTAAATGGCGTATTGTAGTAGATTTCAGAAAAGTTAACGAGAAAACGGTTGATGACAAGTACCCCATCCCCAATATTACAGATGTTCTTGACAAATTAGGTAGATGTCAGTATTTTTCTACATTAGATTTGGCTAGTGGATTTTACCAGGTGGAAATGGACCCTGAGGATATACATAAAACAGCTTTTAACGTAGAAAATGGTCACTATGAATTTCTGCGAATGCCAATGGGCTTAAAGAATTCACCATCGACCTTTCAGCGGGTGATGGACAATGTCTTAAAAGATCTTCAGAATCATATTTGCCTAGTATACTTAGATGACATAATAGTTTTCAGTACTTCCCTTCAAGAACACATTTTGAACCTAGAAAAAGTCTTCAAAAAACTACGTGAATCGAATTTTAAAATACAGATGGATAAATCCGAATTTTTAAAATTAGAAACAGAATTCTTAGGGCACTTAATATCTAATGAGGGTGTTAAGCCTAACCCTAGTAAAATCCATGCAATTCAAAATTATCCCTTGCCAAAGACTTCTACCGAAATTAAACGTTTTCTCGGACTACTTGGATATTACAGAAAATTTATACCAGATTTCGCACGTGTCACTAAACCACTAACACAATGTTTGAAAAAAGGTGCAAAAATAGTCCTAGATCAAAAATATGTAGATTGCTTTGAATACTGTAAAACACTTCTAACCAATGATCCCATCTTGCAGTACCCCGACTTTACTAAGGATTTCATTCTTACAACAGACGCGTCTAATGTCGCTATCGGTGCCATATTATCTCAAGGTACAATAGGTTCAGATAAACCGATCGCCTATGCATCAAGAACACTTAATACTAGTGAGACTAATTACAGCACAATAGAAAAAGAACTTTTAGCCATTGTCTGGGCTTGTAAGTATTTCCGCCCATATTTATTTGGCCGCAAATTCAACATTATAACAGATCACAAGCCTTTGCAATGGGTAATGAACTTAAAGGAGCCGAACTCACGACTAACGCGCTGGCGTTTAAAGCTTAGCGAATATGATTTCACCGTAATATATAAACAAGGTAAACATAATACTAACGCGGATGCTCTTTCTCGTATAGAATTGAATAATGATGAACTTATGTCTATCGCGGTTAATCCATCTGAGAAAACGCCTACGTTGAGTGGCTCTGGAACTATCACAGCGTCAGAGGTAGATGATGACAGTTCTAGGACAGCTACAGTTCACACTAACGATGAAAACCCAATCTTAGAAATTCCGATTTCAGATGACCCATTAAATAGATTCAGTAGACAATTAGTACTTAATATAGTAGGTAACCTTAAGAGTAAGCCTATTATCACAAAACCATTTGACACACATACCCGAATTTCAGTTCAGATATCAGAGTCCAATTTAGAAGAGGACGTAATTAATGCCATTAAGGAATATGTTAATCCCAAAATCAAAACAGGATTACTTATTAACCCCCCATTAGCTATGTACAATATTATTCCAATCATACAAAGTACATTTAAAAATTCATCTATGAACCTAACATTAACTAAAACTGAAGTTGAAAATGTACGAGAATATCTTAGACAGCAGGATGATCCCGATCCTCCTTTTTTGTCTGCAAACATCGCTAATGCAAGAAATAAGACTTGAATCTCTTGACGACGGACCGGGTATTCTACCATTTAAACTAGGTGCAGCTAGAATGATATCCCACTACCATTCCTTTTTACAATATATTAACCTTCAAGATATAAAAGATAAAATAGAATCAGTTAATAATCAGCTAGATAGTATAAGCCCTGAATTACATAATAAAACTAGTTCGTTATTTGAACCTCACATTAATTACCTTAAAAATAAGCTTGATAATGTATTAGAACAGTTACAGACATTTGAGAGTAATCGTGTTAAAAGAGGACTGATAGATGGACTTGGGTCTGTTATAAAGAGTATAACAGGTAATCTTGATTTTACAGACGCATTGCACTATAATCAGGCTATTAAATCTTTACAGGATAATGAAAATAAGCTAGCCTTTGAATTGAATAATCATGTTAGTCTATCTAAGAATTGGACTTCTCAATATTCAAAAGTGTTAGATAATATAGTCGAAAATCAAGATAAAATAAACATATTAGTTAGCGAAGTAACTCGAAATAATGACTTTACAAAGTATGCACACCTGGCTCAAGTACTTACAATATTAAGCGACAATGTAGATTCCACATATCAAGAACTGCTTAGGTTACAAAATGTATTGGCTTTCGTTAGAACTTCCACAACGCATCATTCAATATTAAATGTATCTGCGATACGAGCTATAATTACGAAGTTAAGCAAGTTATACGGTAGTGAAAGGGTAGTAGAAATAGATTTTAGGGAATACTTTGATATAATTAGATTAGGGACTTATTATGTAAGTAATCAGATAGTAATAGTATATAAATTTCCTATAGTTTTACGCCCCATATATGATATGTATAAATTATCCATCATCCCGAATAAAAACAATGAAATCCTTACTCCACCCCTTTCCATTCCTTGCCCTCTTTGAGGAAGATTACAAGTACATAGAGGCTGAATGCCCGAAGACCAGTAAATGGTACCTATGCAAAGAGAAGCAGATTTTGCCTATTCATAAACCATTGGACTGCATCCAGCAACTTATCATCACGCAGCAAAGAACGTCGAGTTGCAGCCCCACTTCAGTGCTACTAAACAGGTCGGCTTATGAGGAGCTAGATGAGAAACACTACGCTGTTAGTTTCCCTAATTCAACGAAGGTTCACCTATCTTGTGCTCAAGACTTCTATAAGAACCTGCAGGGTAGCTATCTTGCTATTATACCACATCAATGCTACCTAGAAACACCTGACTTCACCATTTCAAATAGCAACAATCATCTGAAAGGACAAGCACTGAACATCATAGATCTGCCTACTACTACCAAAAAGACGCCGCCCATAAATCCATTACTGAAGTTAAACTCAGTCAAATTAGATCACCTACATCAAATGAATATGAAGGTCGCTATGCAAACGCCGGTACAGCTGACTGACGTTACCGACTACAGCTTATATCACACTACGATACCAATGTACCTAGTGTTGGTAGGTGCAGGAGTCCTTATTAGTGGCCTCTGCTATCGTAAGTACTTCACGAAGCAGACACAGAACTCACCTGAAGAACCGAAAGAAGAACAACATGAACTTCAAGCGACCTATGCCCTTCCATCCGTTGAAAGGGTTGATAGTGATCAACCCCCAGCTCAATTTACGACGAGAGTCTTCAATAGTCGCTGTTCTACGGGGGGAGGTGTTACGCAACCCTAATACATGGAAACTACCTCGCGTCGACCACCAACATCGCATTCCGTTCGTATGAACTTTTATTGCTAAAGACTTTGTTTCGCAACCATAATGCATGGGAACCACCTCGCGAGTCGCGTCGACCACCAATATCGCATTCTTTTCGTATTTCAACATAACTCTCGCGAAGTGACAGTGTTGTAACATCCGAGTGCACCTTATTGTTAGAGACTTTTCTTAATTCATTCCATTTGTCATACTTCGACAGTGTAATCACCTTAGGATAATTAGTTTGTAAAATTAATATTAAAGTATTTTATAAGTAAAGTTTCCATTTCATTTGCATCCTCTGACTGTGACTTCTATAATTCTCGCACCATACTGCAGAGTCACATTAGAAAAAAGTATGTTGATAAATCTAATATATAAATATCTCGTATCATGGTGTTCGTGGTCGCACTACTCCGAAACGGCTAGACCAATTTTAATGGTTTTTTATAAATATGAAAACTAGCTCCCAAATATGGTAGTTATGAGAATAGGTTGTAAAGTATTTTTCACCCTCTTACCCCCACCCCCATTTTTAATCGTGATTTTTGTATGGATAATATTCAAATAATTTAATATTTTATAAATACATAGGGACGAACTCGAGCGAAGCGACGGTGAGTCGCTATGTAACATAAAGCAAAAGAGCTATTTATGTAATTTTGTAGTTACTCTGGATGACGTCTAAAGAGAAAGTGACAAGAACAAAGACAAGAAAGACAAGAAACCAGTGCGTCAACTGCAACATAGTACATAATATAATATACGGACCGCAGAAGAGCAGACGAAACGCGATGGAAGTGCGCACTGGTGTGTATTAGCCATAAATTAAATTACTTTATGAAGAAAAAAGGAACTAAGAAATGACAAGGTGTACGTCTAATGTATTAAATTGAACAAGTTATTCTTTATTCCACATCAATTTAAAATAAATATTATAAGGGGCATTTAAATTTTAATCTTTTATTTTAAGATGTTGTACTACATCATCTTAAAATAAAAATATTTTTTTTTATTCTGTAATGATTTATCGCATCATATTCTGCAACTAAATAGCTAAATAATATGATGAATAATACGTAGCTAAAGCCGCAATGATACGATCAAAGTCTACTTTGACAAAGTAGTTTTGATGACTACTTTGTCGCAACTTCGATCATATATAGGTACGCCGTACGAGCAATTAAAACGCACTTTGACGTGGACGTTAATCAATGTGGACTTGGGCCGTGTTCTACTTTTCTCAAAACCTGCTTTGACTAAGTAGTTTTGATGGCTACTTTGATCGTGTAAACGAGCAATCAAAGCGAACTTTGACGTCGGTGTTCAATCAAAATGGACTTGGAGCCGTGTTTCGACTTCGTTTCAAAGCTATTTGTCAAAGCAGACATTGAGCGTGTCACCAGCTATTTTTTATTTGTCATGATAACAACCAACTTTGATCATAGCTACTTTGTCAAAGTAGACTTTGAGCGTGTCTACGCGGGCTAATGCTAGAAAGAATTTGAAAGATGAAAATTGACATTGACAATTGACATTTCTTTGATCTTTCCTTCTAGTTTTCGGTGAGCAGCAGCGCTCACAAACAATAATAATTAATATTCTCGGTCATTTAGATATTTATATTATAAAGTAAAAATTGGAAAAATATAAAAATTTAGCATTTACTGATTATGAATGAAACACAGAGTGTTGATCCACAATTAGAAGATTTCATTTTGACAGAAACGCAAAAACAACGCTTTCAGGTAAATCCCGTCTAGAATTATCCATAATGTATTATTATTAATTACAAAAAGCCCAATAGTTTTCCTCTTTGTGTATTTTATACATCCGCAGTTTATGTTCCTTGTATAATTTTATTATTATTCTTTTTCTTTATAATTTACAATGACCTTTGCCCTTTTTACAGTCATTACTTATTAATATATACATTTATTTAATATTGCTTTCCAAAATATTTCAGGTACTAGTACACGGACTCACTGACACATGTTGGGACTCATGCATGGGAAAACCTTCAATTCGCTTGGACTCTAAGACTGAAGTATGCATTATGAACTGTGTTGAGCGATTTATAGATGCCACAACATTTATTACTAAACGACTTATGAATACAACCAAGTATCGATCTGAAACTCCTCTTGAATTCCAATAAGCATATAAAATTTCAAAAAAAGTAAAATGTTGTCCAGTATCAAAAATTTCCTTTATCGCCATAGAAGGAAGTTCATTGTAACTGGTGCAGTGTTTGGCTCTCTATATTTACTTATGAGCTATGCCCAAAAACGACTAAGAGAATGGCAAGAGAAAGAAGCAAAGAAATTTTTCGAAATGACACGAAAAAAACAACATTTTGAAAGTACTGAAAGAACATGCAATCAGACTATACTTTCTCTATCCAAAATTGTTTCAGAAAGTATCCTAAGTGTACTTGATACAGAAAATATTATACAAAAATTACAAAATAATCCTGACAGTAAGCTTGCCTTATGGGAGCAAATGAAAATTATGATTTTTACTAGGATTTGTGTCTTAGTATATGCACTGTCTATATTAAATGTAACATTGCGAGTGCAACTAAACATTATTGGAGGATACCTATATAGAGACTCTGTCCATGAAGATGAACCACTTATTGATAGTGAGCTGCAAGCTAAATATTTATCTTTGTGCCACCATTTTGTAGGACCTGGAGTTGAAGATTTAGTAAAACAAATTGAGAAAGCAGTAAAAAGGGTTGTAGAACCTATTTCATTGAAAAAAAAAATAACACTGCAAGAAGTAGAACAAGTGTTTTGGTCCATACAAACAATATTATGTACTGACACAAGTGATGGTGACCCAGTAAAAAAAATGGTACATTATTTGGTTAATCATACTGAAATAAATGAAGCTAAATTTGAAACAATTGTAAAGGAAACAATGGATATTTTAGAAAGTGATGAAGTCATTTCAGTTGCTATGTCAACTGTAAGTAGGAGCTTTTCTACAATTGTGGATGAAATTGCAAATTTATTTGCTACAAAATGGGTACCAACAAAAAAAAATCATTTAGAGGTCCTTGAAGATCATATTGTCACCAACGGAGCATTGAAATTGGGGAGTGAATTCATAGATGTGAATAAAGTTGAGATGCATTTTGTAAAGCTATTACCAGTTATGAATGAACTCATAACAAAAAATACTTGCAAAGGTAACACTAACATTCCAGATTTACTAACACAACAACTCACACTTAATGAAAAACTTAAAGTGCTTGGTGCAAATATTTATGAAGTTTTTAGTAATACCTAGGCACATTTTAAATAATAACTATTAGAATTTTCTTCTTATGTATTTTACAATAGGACTTGATTATTGTTTATATACCATATAGTAAAAAATAAAATTGTTTGAGACTGTATCAAGATCAAAATAAGTCAAATTGTGGGATGGTAATTGTTAGTAATTTGTTAAAATAGATTGGGGTCATTAATAAAAAGTGTTCAAAAGTCATGGTTTCACTTTTATCATTAAGTTCTCCTTGTCCTCTACAATTAGATAAAACTAAACATTAACAAGAAAATTTATTTGAAATCTAAACCTAATACAAAGTTACTTTGGATTGATTTGAGCCTGCCATATAACATGTATTCTCAGACTAAGGATATAATTCTTTAGTCTTAGTGTAATATGGTATTTTAAAGTCACCTAGAAACCTTAAAAGTACCGCAATATTTTTATTTTCTTCTAAACCAATGAAGTTTCACTTCTAACATGTTTCCATAGAAACTTGATTTTTTTTTCTACAGTAGGTATTAGCACGGTAATGTTACATACATTACCGTGGTATTAGTATTGTAATTTATTATTTGACATTGATATCTTTATTGGTTTCAATTATAGGACATCTATACATATAATAAAATTGTAAGTAGTTGTAATTAGTGTAGTGTAGTAGTGTAGTGTAGTAATTGTAAGTAGTGTAGTAGTACACTAAATATTTTTTGGAAAATCTTATTGAAATAAACATTATTATCGATACAGAGGCTAAATCTATAGTTTTTAGAATTTTTGTCTGTCTGTCTGTTACTGCATCACAGAAAAACCACTGGAAGGATTTTGATGAAATTTGGTATGGTGATAGCTGGTTATTCTGGTCAACATATAGGATACTTTTTACCGGGGGAAAATATCTCATTTCTGAGAAAAAATGCAAAAACTGCAAAATAAGAGTAATAGTAGTAACATATATATTTAAAAGTTATTTTGAATATAGATATGTATTTCTCTTGAAGTACTTTGAGAAAGTGCAACGTGTTTTCATCTGCTTTTTCGCAAGCATTATTGCCATATATCGGCTTAACCGATTTGAGTCCCATCCATATCCATACTATACTACTCGTAATATTATAAATGTGAAAGTTTATAAGGAAGGATTGATGGATGGATGGATGGATACATGTCTGTTACTCTTTTACACCAGAACGGCTGAACGGATCTGGATGAAATTTTGCACAGAGATAGACATGGGCGTACCGAGGTACGGGGCAGGGGGGAGGGGGGCAGCTGCCCCCCCCTGGATCGTATATGTCTACGTACCTACTGTTGTCACTGATAAAGTTATGTTTGAGTCAGGTTACGAGTGTTACGAATTACTTTACAATATATTATGTGTTAACTTATAAAAAAATTGCGCTGCGAGTTCGGTCAACTTGTATTCATACAAAACGCTAAAGCAGCAAGCGACCGGTAAGCTATACGCTCACCAGCCACTCGCTGCCGCGCCAACGACTTACGAAGATTATCGAATATAGCCTAGCGATTGTTACTGGCCTGCGAGCTCGTATTTGACATGTTATTGTTTTGAAAGTGCCAAAAGTAGGTGACGAAAAATAATCAATGCCCATAACTATACATATAATAAATTGTAACTGATCGCTGTCTGTACATGGGGGATATTTGAGAAAAACTATTATTGGGGGTTTTTATTAACCCGATAGAATCCAAAACAATGATATTTAGAATTTTTATCTGTTTTTCTGTGCGTTTGTTTGTAAGTGCTAATCTCAGAAACGGCTTAACCGATTTGTATGCGGTTTTCACGAATATATTTTATGGTAATCTTCACTTAACATTTAATATTTGTTTTATTTCAATCGGTTCATAAATAAAAAAGTTATCTTAATTTAATAAAAAAACAAGAAACATTTATGGAAAAAAAGGTGTGTTTACTTATTTACGCACGCAAGAAGTTATACTGCTTCGTTTTTTTAGAGCATTTAAATAACTTCTTTGTTTTTTTAGAGCATTTAAATAAAAGCTTGTTTTTTGAAATGTTTTAACTTTTTTTAATGTTTTTTACTTTTTTTTCGTATTCTACTCAGCAAACCCTTTCACTTGATATCCATATAGACCAGGGCTGAAGCCTTTAAAAAACTCATCTCTTCCCACTTCCCGACCTCAGATCGCCCGTAAATTATTTTTCCTTTCATTTTTGTAACATCAGTCCGTCGTATTGGATGAAACATAATGACATTTTGAAAATCGTGCACTCAATACACCAAAAATGGCGGGTTTCAGGTGCTAATTTATGTCTTGGAAAATTATTCTTCTAAACCTAAAAATTGAAGGTTTTTAAGAGACGATCTCAAAACATGTCTAATAATTAATTTAAGATAACAAATCTCCAAATGTGTAACTGGCGTAAACTACAAAGCTGTAAGTAAAAAAAAATATAAACACAAAAACACCCGACTGCGTAAAAATCGAAGTAAAAAAAAAGGAAACAAGTTATCTAAAGTACGAGTGTTATGTATTATGCAGTAGGTACTCGTATTATGCAGTCGGAGACATACACACGAAGCAAGACTCACAGCAGACAAAACATATAATATTACGTCTCCGATAGCAAAATACTATTTTCCTTCTTAATTTGTTTCATTATTTTTAGTTCGCTTTTTACGCAGTCAGATTTTTTTATGTTTATAATTTATTTTTTACTATCATTGCCCGCGGCTCCGCCCGCGTTCAGATTACCAAAAACCAAATTCTTAGGTTTTACATATCAGTATACACTTACAATGCAGTTTTTGTATATTTTCTCAGAAATGAGATATTTTCCCGCCGTAAATTTCATGAAAATCCCTCCAGTGGTTTTTCCGTGATGCGGTAACAGACAGACAGACAGAAGAAAAATTCTAAAAACTATAGATTTGGCTTCTATATCGTTAATAATGTCTATTTCAATAAGATTTTCCAAAAAATATTTAATGTACAGATTGGGCTTAGTTACAATTTTATTATATGTACCTATAGATTAATTATAAGCTTCTGCCTACATCTTATTAAGGACGTTTATAGGTAGTTCCAATGAGATTTCATCTACCTGCGTTCTAAAACCCCGTTTTGTAATGAGGCTACAACTCAAAGCTTACGTGTTGTAACTTAGTAAAAGCTACATTACATCAAAAGGACAATTTCATTATCTTTTGATTATGTAATCTATATACATTATACATATATAAAATTACTTGTCCTGACTGATTCATCAGCGTAGAGTCCAACGACTACTCAGCCCGAGTAGTCGTTGGTAGAGTCTAAACCAGGGAGTTAAAAACTTGAAATTTTGGCAGTTGATGCATTATACGATGTAAACGTCATCCACTAAGGAATGGTTTTTAGAAATTCCACTCCTAAAGGAGTAACCCTGTTGAAAAACTCCAAAAAATGTTTATTGGTTTCTATGTAGCTTTTGTCGCTTTTGATGGGATCCTATTGGAGTTTTTAAATAGGGAAATTAATAAGGGATGAAAGTTTGTATCTGTCATTTGTATCAGTCAGAAAAACTGTCATTTTTATTGTAAAATGAACGAAAAAGTAACATTCAGCTTTAAAAAAAAAGAAAAGATCTATATTAAGTTTTTTGAAATTCGTCCCTTAAAGGCTTAAAATGGGGTGATAAAGTTTATAAGGGGAAAAATTGTTTATGATCAGAATTACTTGAAACTTGACGTTACCGGTCTTCAATAAAATTAAATAAATATGTGTTTTTGAAACACGAACTTATTTTTGCAAATAATAAAGTAGGTAGGTAATAAATATGTTAATCTATACTTATTATTATTATTATAAAAATAAGTCCCCCGGCCGCGTCTTTCTGTCCTCCTGTCTGTCCTCCTGTCTGTCCTCCTGTCTGTCTGTACGCGATAAACTCGAAAACTACTGAACGGATTTTTATACGGTTTTCAACAATAGAAAGAGTAATTCTTGAGGAAGGTTTAGGTATATAATTTATTATGCTTTTATGTAAATTAGCTGAAATACGGCGACAAATGTTGAAGAGGTCGCAAAAAATCTCGCCAAATGGGAACTTTCCACGCGAACGCCGCGTAAACTAGCAAAGATACAGTTAAGTAATGTACTAGAGAATTCAAAATCTATAAAAATGCTACAAAAAGTCCGCGATAGCATATCTCTATCTCTTACGGTTGACTTACAATAACCACTTTTATGTTAACATTTTTAATTAAAAACATTACGTTATTTTCAAAGTTATTTTCTTTAGTTCGGTATTAATCCTTATCCAAATGAATATTTTAGTTAGCTTAGTCATTTAATGCAGATTAAAATTGCTCTTTACACTAAATCAATCAGATGAATAGTTTTTGAGATATCGTTGTTAGAAGTAATTAGTAGCGAAACATTTTTAATGCTTGGCGAGCATTGAGATGCCTACGGCGAGTCCATCCCCTCTGCCCCGCATCGCTCGACCGCCTGCTCAAGCTATATAAACCGGGCGATGTAGCGCGCGATCCTAGGATACTTTTTACCGCGGGAAAATATCTTATTTCTGAGGAAAAATACAAAAACTGCAATGTAAGAGTATACTAATATGTAACACCTAAGAATTTAGTTTTTGGTCATCTGAACGCGGGCGGAGCCGCGGGCAATGCTAGTATTTAATAAACACAACTTGATATTCAACGGTACGGAACCCTCGATACGCGAGTCAAAATCATACTCACACGTTTGAAAATGATTATAGCCATCAAATTATTATAATAAGTTATAACCTAAAGCCAAAATGTTTTTTTTTTGTAGTTTGAGCGCGGGCGACGTCCCGGGATCTAGTACTAGTAGTCTAATAAATAGTGGCCTATATAGTTCTCGTAATGTTTTAGTATGTAATAATGAAGATAAGACATACTAATAAATTGTCAATAGTAAGGTCCCTTAATAATTTAGCACTATAGTTTAACAATATTTGTATCTATGATCTACGTAACAAGCTATTGTTAGTTCTGATCTATATTTAACGGTTATTCTGTCGTGTGAAAGTATAAACAATACATTTATAAAAAACATCGGCAAATATATAAGTAGATAAAATATAGAGCAAAGATAACCTTTCATTATTAAAATGGATATGTTTGGTATCATAAAAGATAGACATCGATATATATAGATATCGATAAGAGATTATGGACGTAAGGATAGATTTTTATTTGAAGGCGTAAATCCCAGAAAAAATATTGCTTACTAGCGGCTCTCCCTCGTTCCGCTCGGGTTCGCCTCTAGGAAAACAAAAACAAACCTATCCGACGGGAACCGTACATTTTTCCGGGATAAAAAGTAACCTATGTGTTATTCCAGACTATAATCTATCTCTGTGCCTTTCATCCAGATCCGTTCAGCCGCTCTGGCGTGAAAGAGTAATAAACATCCATACTCACAAACTTTCACATTTATAATATTATATAAGTAATTTATAATATAATTAATACGGACCAGATTTCAAAGTTTAGTTATTACTTATTACATTATACATAAGTATACATAATACATTTTTAAGTTAATTATGGTTATTCTCTTTTACTTCAGTAGGTATAAAATTATAAGAATACTACCTTCCTACTTACGTTTTAACGTTTAGTATAGATTTCTCAGAGATGAGATATTTTACTGCAGTAAAAAGTATCCCATATGTTGACCTGGATAACCAGCTATCATCATACCTCAAAATCCCCCCAGTGCTTTTACCGTGATGCGGTCATACACAGACAGACAGACAAAAATTCTAAAAACTATAGATTTTCCAAAAAAATATTTAATGTACTGATTCGACTTCGTTACAATTTTATTATTATTATGTATAGATATGTAATTATCGAAAGTCTGAAAAGTGTTTCTTATTATATACCGTGTATACTAATTATTATGGTTAACTTTTATATACCCGTAGATGACCAGGTAAAAGTATGGGATAATGTTAAATTTAAGTAATGAGGGTCAACATTGGAGGCTGGCGAAGCGACGGACGGGTGTCCCGAGCGGCGCCATACGTCACGTCAATGCAGGGATATGCCGCAAACGGCGAAGTGCGCGCGCAACCGACCGCGATGCCAATACCTCATCGCGAAACGCGGTAAGCGCGCGCCTCTATCGACGCGCAGAGAAACGTGTACACACCCGAGTTAAACTGTGAAAATACTGTGCTAGATCAGTGAAAATATATTCTAAAAATATACACCAGTTTGAACAATCTAAAGATACCTATGGTACAGAAAACAACGTCTGTATTTCATAGACTATGTAAGTTCTTTTCATTTTTACATCTAAATTTTTAATCAATTTAAATATGTACTAAAATTAACATTAATTTTAACTCAAAATTATGAAATCACATTTAATATGGACTAAATCAGTAAAAACTATAAAAGCGTGACTTAATATATTGTGGCAATAAGAAATTTTTAAGCTGGTGCATATAAACTATAAAGATAACTAGTAAATAAAGATTATGGTTATTTAATAAATACTTTTATATCATCAACTTTACAATTATATGTTGGTTTAAATTATATTTTGAACCATTTATAAACTCGTGTTCCATCCACAAATACCTGCTTAAATAAATAATTCTCCATCCGATTACAAACAGAAATGTAAGTAGGTACATACATATATAACTTATTTGTTTATAAATTCCATCCTCTATTATCCAAAACAATTTATTATCTTACAAAAACGTATATCGATATCTTAGTGAATATGTAATATGTATACACCCTCTCGGTCCATATTGTGTTTACGATTATCCAACAACATTCACATGGTTTGGTATCGCTGTTTATAATTATCAAACCGTACGTTATCGTTGTCATTCAACGCTGTATTCGATATCAATCTAAACATTTTTTGTAATGTGTACTATGTTAATTATTTCATGAGGTACTTATTATTTTAAAAATATATTTTACATACACTTTTTAAGTTGAATTCTTAATTTTTTTTATTATTTTTTTCATTTATTGAAATATCAGTACATATATAGCAAAAACAGTTATAAACGATAATAATTGCAGATGTTAAGAAAATGTGTCGCATTTATTAACGCCCTCCACCAGCAAAATTACAGAATCTATTTTTCATTAGGTAGTTATCTACCTTTAATCGTTGCGAAGATATCATTTGATATTATATATCTAATGACAAAAAATATTTTTTTTTATGATTACACAATCCTAAATTTTCACTACGCGTTTGTGCGCTACGAATAAAATAATTTCAAAATAAACTTACATACATAGGTAAGTACTTTTAATTAAGTGCTTCCCAATAGTAGGTACCTACCGTTAGGTAATGTTAATGTAATCGTTCGACTTATCCAAACCAAAATCGGCTGTGCTCTTAATTGGCAAATATTATCTGTTCAATTATTTTCAAATTATATTTATTTATCATAACTAATATTGGTAACAGTTATTAAATGATATCTACGCAGATAAAATTTATAAAATATTTTAGGTATCGTCGCAATAATTTAGGTATATAAAAACCTTCGTCTCGATTTCTTAACCTGCGCGGATCAGAGATAACTTTGTAAATGTATGACTAAATTGTGTACATGTTTAAAAAAAATATGAAAATGTAAAAATTAAAATGTTCTTACAAGTTTAATCATAATTAAATAAATAATGACAATGCAACGGAACGAAAAGTCTTGCAGTTGTTGTTTTGTGTTTGTCTGTTCGTCCTATTTGATAATTGATAGTTGATACAGTTACTTTTTTTTTACTTTTAGAATGTTTTTTTTGTTTGTTTTAGGGTTCGAACACGGAATTATTAAAATATTTTTATTTAATATTTTTTCAGTATGTTTTCAGTTTAGACATATTTTTTCTGTTATGTAAGAAGAAAAAGAACATGCCTTCAGTCCAAACAAAAGGTTATATTAAAGTTTTTTTCTAAAGAAACTCTCAGTAACGGCGCGTAGTTGGGAAATTGGCGGTGTTTCACCCCCGTGCCTCGGAGAGTATGACGTAAAGCCGTTGGGCCCGCGTCTAATGTCTCACAGGTCGTGTCGAATTGTCGTCCCACCGGAATTTGAGAGTGACAAAAACAGAGAAAGCACGTGTTCCTGCTGAGTCCTGTCCACTTGTTAGTTGTACATTAAACCTATATAATATCTTCTGCGCGGATGACTAATCTCAGACTTCAGAGAGATTGGACGCCGTGGGCGAAATCAATCAGGAGAATATTATATTTACATAAATTTTAAAACATATAACATAAAAATCATGTTGGCCCGGTATGAACTCCGAAACAACTTATCCGATCTTACCGTTTTTTTTTTCAAAATGTATGATGTGTTCCAATGTAAAAGATAGGATAGTTTTTATCCTGATTATTTCTTTTTTTATGGCAAAATTAACGATTTTCATATATGTGCCACAGCAACGCGTGGATCTGCTAGTATATTATATAGAACGGAAATTAATTACTTAATGACGAAAGTATTGTGTCAATCAAGAATTCTCATTTTAAAAGTAATTTTCAAAATTATGCCTAGTAGAAAATTTAAAAAGTTCCTAGCTCATTTTCTACTCTTTTTCTCAATTTAGGCCTTCCATATCTTATGCTAAATCATGCCATACTATATAATACCTATATAATATCGCTCGGATTTGTCCCTAGCTTGATTTCCGGGAAAAAAGAATCCTATGTCCTTCGCAGGATCTCAAACTATCTTCTTACCAAATTTCATCTAAATCGGTTCAGTAAATCCAGAGATTACCCTCAACTACGTCACAAACTCACAATTCATGCTATCATGCATCTCTGCCAGCGCAGTGGTAATTTTTCAATGCCCTTCTTGAAGAAGCCAGGTGTACGGGAGCCAACAAACTCTTCAAAGGTATTTTGTACTGCCTCTCGGTATTGAATTTTTTCCCCCTGCCAAGAAATTGTCCAAATTTTGGAAAAGTAGAGTATGTTGGCGCAAGTTCTGGTGCGTAAGGTGAAAGACGCAAAACTTTCAACCCTAGCTTTTGAAGCTTAGAGACCGTCTGATTAGCTTCTCCATTATTGTGTCCAGTTCCTCATAGTACACATCCGTAGTAATGCTGGTGCCATTTGGTTAGATGTTATGATAAATTATACCGGCACTAGAACACCAAATAGTCACCATCGCCATCGTTTGGGGCATTGCCTAGGTGCGGAACCAGGGTCTAACCAACATGACAACCACTTCCATTTATCAAAAATAATCCATTTTTCATCGCAAGTGACAATGTGGATCAAAATCCCTTAGTTTCTGCGTCTGTTAAGCAACGCATGACATATCTCAACGTGTCCGTCACGCTGGCGATCGTTCAGTTCGTGCGCCACCCACTTACCAAGTTTTTTTACCTTGCCAATTTGACGCAAATGGATCATTTTAAATAAAACTATCTTTTCGGATTATTTTGAAATCTAAGAAAGTATTATGCGAATGGACCAATATTGTTTTGATGCTAACGTTGAAAATTACCTCGTACCTCAGCCGCAGATTGAATATCGTCAGCCTCCACTGTCGCCTTTATTTCGTCGTGGTTGATTTTAGTTTTGGGTGACCACGGGATTCATTTTTTTTATTTTTTGTCGGAAGCGTTCATACCAATAACGAGTCGTGCGTTCGTTTATAGTATTCACACCGGACACGTCTTTAATATTGCGAGCCGTTTGTGCGGCATTGCTGACGCGACGGAACTCATATTCCATAATTATTCGTATTTTTATTGTGTCCACATTGATGAAAAAGATACAAATGTAGTGAAAACAAAAATCTAACCAATAAACAAATGACTGAATTCGAAAATAGAATTTGAAAATAGAATTCTATACTTTTAAAATAAAATTAATTTGAATTTAGAATTTATTGCCATCCTTCAAATGGCCTGGCCAGTATCGTAAAACGGCAACTTCATGCAAACACCTATTATATATGAACTATTTAAATTATCGTTTTATGTTACTTGACATTTTATTGTTAAGGACAATAAATTATTACACATTTTTTCACGATATTGTTATTTTCAAGCTTATATATAGGTACATTATTAAATATATTCAAAACTAATGTCCGAACATTTTTATTTATTTATTAATTATTTATTGTTAATCTTACTAAGATTAACATTAAGATAAGAAGATTATAGTCTAGAATAGTACATAGGCTACTTTTAATCCCGGAAAAATGTATGGTTCCCATGGGATACATTTGTTTTGTTTTTCTTGAGGCGAACCCGAACGCAGCGAGGTTGAGCCGCTAGTTGGTAATGAAAATTAACCACTACTTTCATTCAATTTTTTTTTTGTAAAACTACTCGAGGCTAAAATTAACATATCCTTACTAATACCTACCTATTATTTTTACCTATCGCTTACTACAACCCACTCACGCGAATGTTTTACAAAATCTGCTTATGTTACATGTACGTATTTTAGGGTATTTATATAAAATCTAAAAGTTTACTCGAAATATATAATACCTACCGCTGTTTAAAATTACATGCACATTTAAAAAAAATATATATTAATTTTATTAATATGTATTGAATAAAGAATAAAGATGTTACCTACTAACTAACCTACCTATAGTTAAGGTCCATGCAGCCATGTTTATGTAGGGATACAATACGAAAGATATTATCTCTATTGTTACTTACATAATCAACGGTACAAATATGTATGTAACTACCACATAAAAACTAACTTCCGGCGCGATATACTTTTGAAAATGAAATCAATGAGGTCACTATTAAATGCACAAACATCTACCTAACTATATACATATATTTATGCATGTTGCTCTTCTGATATTCTGAAATATATTGGGTATAGTTCTTTTTATTTAAAATATATGTTAACTAGCATTGCCCGCGGCTCCGCCCGCGTTCAGAGGACCAAAAACCAAATCCTTAGGTTTTACGTATTAGTATAGACTTACAATGCAGTTTTTGTATTTTTTCTCAGAAATTAGATATTTTCTCGCGGTAAAAAGTATCCTTTATGTTGACCCGGATAACCAGCTATCATTATACCAAATTTCATAAAAATCCCTCTAGTGGTTTTTCTGTGATGCGGTAACAGACAGACAGACAAAAATTCTAAAAACTATAGATTCGGCCTCTGTATCGATAATAATGTTTGTTTCAATAAGATTTTCCAAAAAATATTTAATGTAGGTACAGATTCGGCTTATTTACAATTTTATTATATGTACCTATACAGTAGGTATAGGTAAGTTCCCGGGGGAGAAGCCAACTCCT